GCGAGTTTGTATTTAAGTTGTTTTTATGGTTATGGTTAGTAAAAAATAGAAAGTCTGAAGAATTAGCTGCTACTCCAAGGGCAACGCTCAGCAGCATAAGAGAGACCTTCTAGAGCAGTCACATCAGTCAGTGCTTGGTAGTGCAATTAGAACAATTTTGGTGTCGTGATTCACTCGCTCGGGATGAATACTGCTAATATAAAAAAACAATTCTTTCCTGCCAGGAAGAGCTCTTCTATACATGTGCACAAATTTTCTTCAGTTCAGCTGTTTAAGTTGCAGCATACTACCATGACCATTTTATTAGTGCAAACGTGTGTGCCAACATTTTTCAAATGGTCATGTTTACTGTCTAAGAACAAGATGACTAGTCGCCCGACTTCTGTTGGCTGACTAACTTTTGGACAGTCACCTAACTCGGTGAAGTCTGTTCGTCGAATTGAAGGCTGACCGACTAAACGATGGCATAAATTGGAAGTTAGGGGACCATACCCTGTCACATCGCAACACAGTACGCAAGTGCCTGTCCAACTGACGAAATCAAGTCGTTCCTGTCTCTGACGCAGTATTTCGGATAGTATGTAACTGTATTTACTTTTGTTTTCTAAATCCCTTAGCATTTGTAATCCTTATTGAGTAGCTTCACTAACTGTTTAGACCTGGGCCTGGCTTATGGAGAGTTGATCCCGTGCATTAACCGTAGCCTTTTTGCCGCAAAGTTCGTGAGTCATTTATGAGTCGTCACGCTGCGATTAGAATGGTGTCAGCTGAAAATGGTAAAAGACTGAAGGTAACAAATCCTGCTTAAGTTTTTTCCTTCAAATCTACTTCTCTCACATTTTAAAATGCAAACCAGGCAGTCACTAGATGTTGACCTTGCAGCAAGTAACGCATTGAAAATTACGCGCGTGCGCCGTTTGGTAAAATCACTAAATACCTATTTTTCTATACTTTCTATTGTCCTAATCTGCTTTTGATTTTGTGTTGCCCCTTCACTTGGTAGTGGAGTCCACCGAACACCTCTGCTCTCTGCCTAGCGTACATATGTTTTGTCTTTCCTGATCCTCTGTTTAAATGGTGCTTGGTAATGCATATGTGTTTTCCACCGCCCGTCACTGTACGATCACGCGAGGGCTGGAGACAAGAACTTCTATATCTCATCCCGACTTTGAGCTCTTCTATCCATAGCTAAAGTGGTAACCCACTAGACCTCCTTTCAGGTCTCAGGTATTCTCGGCTTTGGACGAGACCTGACTAATTAACGGCATTAAACCAGAACTGGTCATTGTGGCTTCCCCTTTTGTGATTAATAATTTTTCTGAAAGTTAGACAAGGCATCGGTTATGTATAATTCGGTGTCAGGCGTCTGTCAATTGATTATACTGCTGATAGACATCAATGGTCCGACCTTCTCCACGGCTCGCTTTTCAGCTGCAGCTTATGTTATTGATATACGGCATTATTTATTTGATTGAAAAAAATGATGGTAAAAAAAGCTCTAGTTTTTGCCTTGGGCAATCTTTGTACTTAGAGTGAATAATTGGCTGGAAAACCACGCC